AAGGTACCGGTAGGTACGTTCATTTAACAAAACTAAATATGAACGGGTAATATAATTTCAAATCTCGCTTTGATATTCTTGAATTTATCACAATATCCCGCCTAATCTATAGATTGCACAAAATTGTCACATTAATATTATTAATTTATTACATTAAAAAGTCAACAACAGACTGATCTGTTGTAAATAAAATCTATATTGTGTCACTAACAGAGTCACATCAAAGTCACATCTGGGAATGATTAATGTGAATTAGCTCTAGAATGATAACGTCAATATTTCGTCGAACAAAGCAACGGATGCAGTGATTGAACGGTACACGTGTAATTCACCCATCTCGCTTTTGCACTTTAATACATCAAAATCGACGTATCGATTATAATTGTTTTCAAACTAAACCAAAAGAGAAAGAGAGAGAAAAAGAGAGAGAGAGAGAGAGTGTGTGTGTGTGTGTTCTGCTCTCGTTCTCAATACGGTCAATATACGCGAGAACTATCGCTTTGTATCTGCACGATACGTTCAAATAGCGTGATTTTCATTGCCGCACGTCGCAGAGCACAAATCAAGGCCAACAAAATGAAATTGCAACGTTACAAATAAAGAACCATAAATAAATAAATATACTCGCGATTGGTGCGAAAATAAGTTCAGTAGGTGAAACTCGCCGCACGAAGAGAACTAAATGATAATTATCTGTAATATCTCGGTGAAGTCTCGCGTCGAGAGTTTCCCGATTCTGTGAGTAATGCCGCTACAGCTTTAAGTTCTCGGGAGCTGTGCGATATGTATAGAACGCGGGCGGGTGTAGTGGTTGGCTTGATTCCCGTGCGCGCGCGCGCGCGCTATAGATGAGAGAGAACTTTCCTCATTACAAGAATACTTCTAAAACGGTTCGCCTGATAAACGAATGAACTTTCGGCGTTCCTTATCGGCGATCCCGATGTTATATATCGAGCAAGGAGCCAAAAGTGATCGCGGAAGTGCAGCGGCAACGGGACGGGGCGGCGCCTTTTAATTTTCTTCCCTATACCGCCGGTTATGCTTACAAAATTCCAAAAAGAAATAATCTCACCAAAGAAAAATTTTTCTTGCACATTAATTCACTTATGCGCGATAAAGAAAAATGTCTGCGAATTCTATATTGTTGTTTTTTATTTATTTATTTATTTTTTTTTATTATGCTTTTACACGCGCTTGGATTTTATTATTATCAATTGCTTCGAATATCTTTCGCGTTGATTTTTTGTTTTGTTAAAAGCGCTTTTGTTTCCGAGCTCGTTTTGCTCGTGCAATTAATTTTCGTGAAATTGCGTAATTCAACGGCATAAGTTACCGATTGCGGACGGCAATTCCCAGCCGACGCGACAGATAAAGAATGTGTGGGTACGGGTTTGGCCGCGTGTGGGCGCTTTAACCAGGGTATTTCCCAATTAAGCTTCCGACACGCGTGGTGTTACCGCTTTGGCTCCTTCTGCCAGCCGCGTGTGTGCGCTTTCCGCGAGCGCGGAATTGCCATTACTTGCCGCCGCTGTGTACAAAGTCTTCCTTGTCTAGACCAGCAATCTTCCCTCCCTCCCTCCTCGTCGTATAAGACTCAGCTTAATAGCTTCCTGCGGGAATTCAGAGGCCATCGGTTACCTAACATGCGTCTAATAAGACTGATGATGATCGCGAGAGCCCGGGCGAAACAACGTAAGAGGAAATTAAGTACCGGGTGCGCCGACGCGCGCAAGTCGGACATGCTACTCCAATTTGCATTTCGTTCCAAGTTTTAATTGGTTTTAATCCTTTGCGAACCGCACTCGTTTCTCTCTCTCTCTCTCTGTTTTTCTCGTTTCGTACAAACTTTTATCCTTTCCGCCGGAAAGCCAAATAGACCTACCTACTTCAACGTGCGCGCGCTAGATATACCTCAACACTTTTTCATATATTTGAGGTGAAAATTGAAGAAGCTCAAATAGGGCTATTATGCATGCAACGTCATTTCGTTAACGTTATCCGGGAATTGGTTGTATTCAAACTCGTTTTCTTTCTTGCAACGTATTCTTTTCTTTTTTTTTTTTTTTTTTCTGGTTTTGTTCACACACAATTGCAATCTGTAGATACGCAGCCATTTTGCATAAAATATGAAATCTGTGAGATTTTTTTGGAAAACAGTTTTTTGCGCTACACACAAAAGTTTTATTCAAATTCTTTCCCACACCAAAGGTGTTTGCTTTCTAAACGAAATAAAAAGCTTAAATTTGGTATCTTTCCCGATATGAGAAACCCGTGGAGTTGCGCAATATGTGAAATAATTTTTAACTTACGCGAACAACAATGAAATTTTGCATAAAGATCTAACTTGAAAGAAAAATATTGCTGACACTTTGTTGCAATCAGGGGTTTTGCGCGGAGCGTATTTCGCGTTCATATCGCAAGCGCTGTTACAGTCGGAAAACGGCTCAAGTTATCTTCCGTGCGTAATGTATGTTGTAGCACACATTAGTTTCGTTGTAACATACATTAGCCTCATTGAGCGTTTTACCGCGACTTGGTTGGTGCAGTCCCTTAATGGACGCGGTCGTTTCCTTAATTGGCTACGCAAGTGCTTGACAGAAATAGAATACACACGTACTCGGTAGAGTCAGACCGAGACATTGCTCATTCCTTATGCGTATATGTCTCCGCGTGTATGCGTGTGTGTAGTTATAATAGTTGTGAAACCTAACGACGTCAAAGAGAGATTCGTCATCTTTGTCTGACTGCTCGCGAAGACGATAAGTTCTCTAACTTCGTGCCGATTGGGGCAAACTCCTCTCTACCTGATAACTTCCAAACCATCTTCCGTCAGAGACTAGACTACGTGCAAGCACATACACACATAGTTCGAGTCATATTGGATTCCACGTTACACGTCGGTGCGCCGTAGATAGGTCCTTTTCAGGGTGGGATCTAGGATTACAGCAAGCACCCAGGATTACCGGGTTTGGCGGTACCAGAAATGTCATATCCTTGGGAATTGGTTTCTACGGGATATATCACGAGGAAATCGGTCTAATTATGTTCCGTCTGGAACGACCGAGTTCAGTGATGAGATTTTGTCTGCCTCGGATGTAAAAAAAAAAAATAGTCGTTCCGACGACGCGTGTATGTCGATCGTTTTAATTTACAATATAAAAATCCAAAACTCTTACTCTTTTATTTCATAAGAAATATTTCTAGAGTGGATGCAATTTTGAGTATATTTGATTGAGTATACATTATTTTAACACAATTGTTAATCGGAAAATTTTTTGTAGAAATTAACGCGTGTGCAAAAACTCTCGTCTGAGACAGAAAATGTGAACGATAAGCACAATCATAATGCGTCTAATGAACACTTGATCAATTTTAAGCTCTATCTATCTTGCACGATCGTGATTTTAATTCACTTTTTAAATAACGTCCGAACACGTCTTTTAAACTTTCGACCGACCAAAGACGTGTCTCCGATCAATAATGTGTTAAAAACTTTTCAATAGTTTTAGTACTCTAGTGTGATGTGTGTTTAATACCAAATCTCTTCTGTGTGATTTTAACGGGAGCAAAATCTATGACAAGATGAAGGTGAGAACGGGACTGCTTAATATCGGCTCGTTTCGCCAAAATTAATTAGGATCGCAAATGGTTAATGAGATACATAGCTAAGAATACGTGTAGCGGATCGTTACGTAGTTCGTCAGATAGTTCGAGCGGCGGCAAAACATCTGTCTTATGTTCTCTGACTTTAGAGTTTGCTGCGCGTAAAATATCTACGGCCTTTAATTAAAACGACAACAGTAGAAACTTCCTAATTAGAAATAACTGAATCCCCATTCGAAGCTGTTGATTAAACAAGCGACAACATCCTTATTATCACGTTTAGAGAACATAATTACTTTTACGCGTATCGCTATAACAAACGACAAGATACGCATTTGAAACTGTACAACTCTGTAATGATAATTACTCTCCGTCAAGGAGAATTTAATATTTATGTTATATTTCGTAGACATATACGGTTTTTGAAAGTGACATGTTTAGAATATTACAAGCATTCAATTTATTAAGAATGCTAAAATAAAATTTTTTCTTAAACAAATTTACAAATTTAAAGTTCTGTAGTATCAAACTAGCGAAGAGAGAGTTATTCGACCAATGTGAGAGCCATGTGTTGAGTGTACGTGCGCAAAATATATTTTCGAACGTGTAAATTATTACACGCAATAATTCGAACTGGAATTCAATTTAAAAATTCATGTTCGAAGCTTGTTTTGCATCACGTGTATATGAATTACAGGTTTTACTTCTTATGAAAATTTTATTGCAAATTTTTTTCCTTTTATCTTTTGCTTTGACGGTGTTAAAAAAAAAAAAAAACGTAATGTAGCTAAAAGTAAAAAGAAATTGTTTTCTTTAAATTGAATTCAAAAGTAGTGAGAAATTGATAATATATCGCTACGTGATTAAAATACCGTATGATGTACTCGCTATCCGATATATTGAGCATAGTTTCGTGGTTGGCTCGCTGGGGAACGAAAATTAGCCTGAAATTAGGCTGCTCTAATGGCCGTGATAATTGATATTCGATGCGCGTCGAGGCTTCTCTCTACATTGCCTCACATGACATACATACGTTGTTTCCTATATATTGTCGCCGTAAATGGCCTAACTGTTTTCAACCCTCTACGATACGTACACAAATAGCTTTCGTTATCCAATTGTCGTCGCATCCTGCAGCCAAGTAGCCATCATAATCGGAATTATTTCTTTGAAGATGGCGTATTTAAGATATTTTTTTGTATTATTATTCAAAAAATCATTCAAACAAATATCTTCACCAAAAATATTGTGCGATAAAGAAATGGATTCACAAACAAGTTTCCTCGTTTTTGTTTGCGCAGCTTGGTATTTAACTTCCTCCAATTTTATTTTTTATAAAATTAAGATTAGAAAGACTTTGTTTTTTTTTTTTTAATAGTTTTATCAATTTGTTACAGATCACGTGGATGAGACGGAGAGACAGACAAATTCTAACAATCGGCACCACAACACACTCTATTGACAAGAGATTTGCCGTCAGACACTCCAGCACCGATTGGCAACTCACAATACGCGCCGTAACAACGGACGACGCCGGTATTTATGAATGTCAGGTACGTCGGAAAATTATTCGTTGTACATCTCATATAATTAATTATTTATATATATTGTAATATTAAAATATTAAAATATTATAGTAATTATACATATTTTATAGCTCACATTTTTTATTTTGTTTTTATTGGAATATTGCTGCCTCTTCTCTCTCTCTCTTTCTCTCTCTCTCTCTCTCTCTCTCTCTCTCTTTTTTCTCTCTTTCTCTTTCTCTTTTTCTGTTATCGTACGTATCTTAATCATACATATGTGATCTTTAAAATTTATGTAATGAAAACTCTCGTAATAACAGAAAAGTGATTATTGCTATTAATGAATTTTTAAATAGAAAACAGATCAATGTTAGCCAATTATAGCTTTTGCTTAATTCAAAACTACATTAAAACTAAAAATGAATATTTAATAGCTGTTGGTTACAATAACGCCATAAACGTTTTTTAATTATAAATCGAAAGATTATATTGATTACTTATGTACAGTTTTATCAAAGGTTTCACGTGCCGAAAATGTCGACCAAAATGTCAACGACGTTACTTTCTTACAAGATACCGTTTAAGATCGGGGATATCATTACAAAGAGTCTTTAACCACAGACGCTTAAAGGCCGCTTTAATGACGAACATAAATGCCATAACACAATATGGCACGCTATAATTCTACTTCAGAATATAATAGTTTTAGAGAGAGAAACTGATTTATATTTCAAAATAAATTATCTTATATATCACGTCTCGACAAAAAAATATTCAAAATTTCATAAATTTTAAAGATACCGATATTTTTTTTTTGCAATTGCAGGTGACGTCGCATCCGGTGCAGCGAAACTTCGCTCGTCTCACAATCACGGAGGCGTACTCAATAATACCAGGTGCGCCTGATCTTCATGTGAAACAGGGCTCGAGCCTTCGTTTGGACTGCCAGCTTATGGCAGCCACGGAGAAGCCCCTTTACGTCTTCTGGTATCGTCAAGGCCGTATGATAAACTATGACGAGGAGCCTGGCGTCGACGTCAAGCTCACGCCAGGCGGCTCGATTTTGACGGTGAACAAAACGAAGCTTACGCACGACGGGAACTACACGTGCGTACCTAGCAACGCCAAGCCGGCGTTCATCATGGTCCACGTTATTGAAGGTGAGGTCACAAAGAGCAATTTTTCGAATAAATTCACGGAGAAATTCTCGAACGCAAAATTGCTCGAATAAAAAAAAAAAAAAACAATCGTTAACAATTTGTGCATAAAAACTAATTTGAATTTTATGAAGGAAGAGAATAAATTAACTACTTTAATCGAAGAATATATTGCGAGATTTTCTCGTTAAGAGATTGAAAATCTCTTCTGTTAATTGTGTATCAAAACGGTTCTGGAGACTAACGAACCGACAAATTGACCGAAGTTATGTCTCTAAACACCTGTGCAGATCCGTAGACGTCTTAACTACTATTCAGCTTTGCGTTCTCGGCGTGAAGCAAAATACAAAGACCATTTGCTTACCGACCATAGACAAGTAATTGACAAACAATTATGCATTAAGAAAATCTCGCGTTAATGTATTTCAACAATAATTGCAAAAAAACGTATTGATGAAAAATTCGAACAGCTGTTTGAATGACATAACGCGCAGACTTACGAAATATAACTCGATGGAAGGATGAATTCTGAAGATGAACAGACGAGAGATTCCGTGTTATTACATATCATAACAACGCGGCTTACCTATGTGTCGATAGGCAGAATCCACAATTCTGGAGAGTATAACGCGGTAGTAATTGACTCGCTCTAGTTACGCTGGCGAAGATCGGCGCCGATCGACGAGAGGAACTTCCGCGGAACTTGAATATTCATTAGAGTAAGAGCCGAACAATTAAACGGTTGTAGGAAGCTCATTACGATCGGATTTAGCGGCTCTTGTAGACGCATTCATCCCGAAACCCATCTCTTCCCTTGCCATTCCGCCTCTCCTCTACCCTCTCTTCTATCTCCTTACCCCGCTATATAACTCGGCCGCGATAGCAGAAGGGCGGTTCAAAATTGTACGACCGCCTCGTGCTAACGACGAAACTTTTACCCTCCTCGAGTTCGTCGCCGAGGACGCGAAGTTCGACGCAATTTTTCCAAAGTACGGTGTAACTTCGGTGCCGGCTTTACTTACACTTTAACGCGTTTAGTAACTACGTAATAACGCGATAGTCCGTGGGGAGCATTATCAAACTTATCTATTATTTTCCCCTTACGAAACGATACTCACGATTTTATTTTAATTTTTTTTTTCTCATCGCGCTTGTGTTACAACGCGCTTTCGACATCGCCGGTTCGCGCGCTTCGGAAGTTTTTCGAAACACTAGTCTAACGGTTTACCGAGTCTGTTTACGCCAAAGTTTACCTTCACTATCTTCTTTATCTTTAAGCTTGTTTGTGAAAAATGAAGAAAATAACGCTAGCTGAAACGTGGTTGAATAAAACGCAGCAGCTGAAGTTTGAAGTTTTTGTTATCTGAAAACTTTCTATATTTTTTAGATTAATTTATGTAAAAAAGAAACTAACAACTTTCGCTCGATTCTGAATTAACAGCTTACTTTGAAGAATTTCTAGAAATTGTGTAAAAAAAAAAAAGTAGCACACATTCTGAAACAGGTCATCAAGTTTTGACAAATATTCTTCGGATGTTTGCCACGTTCTCTTCGTCGATATCAAAGCGTGTGACAACAAGAAAGCGTTCACGCGCGTGACTGGATTCTAAAAAAGATTTTCTACAGCAAAACACGCGAAATGATCCGTGTTTCATCTTATATCTCAACTAGAAACGCCGGAGGTCATTTAAAAACTGTCTGTTTCAATCTTCACGGAGAAGTTTTACTATTCAATAAAAAAAGCTGTGTTTTGTTTGTACATTTTTTTTCAAGTTTTGTTAACCGACAAATAAAATAAAATAGAAAATTTGTTGATTCCCCTTGGAGTTGTCATACATCTCACAATTATCGCTTATCTCTGAGCTAACTTCTTATCTTATATATACAAACTATATATTTAATTACTAAATTTAATCCTAACTTTTATTTAATCTAAAGGACGAATATATAGTTTTTATTTTATTGTTACTAGAGTGTTAACTTCTTTAACGTGAAAACATTTAGATTTAAATCTAATGTATTTTCTCTTGTTTTACTTTAAAGATCTAATAAATTAATATAAAAAGAATGTACACACAAGTAAAGAGATTTATATTTGTACGTAATATTGCAGCTTATATATTTTGAACACATATTCTCATTTCTGCAAAAGAGTGAGAAAGCATCTGTTGAGATTACATTCAATCTTGTAAGTAGACAAACATATATCTCCGCGAGTCTCATGTACTTCATGTATATATATACTCAAACCCTTCATATCCCCACGGCAAAACGACAATCTAAAATCAAGCAAACTTACGTTCCTAGTCCTCGCGTCGTCGTTTCTCTCCTTCTACTTCATGTCGTATGAAGCGCAGCTTTCTAATCTCGTTGCAGAGGAGGAGAAGCCGGCAGCGATGCACGGAGGCGACAGAAGGAACCTCAGTCCGGCAATTTTGGCGAGCAACTTTCTAGTATCCTTCCTGGCGGCCGTCAGCTGGAGGATACCGAGTTTCACGAGTCTTTACCCGACGTGAATTACCGCCGTTCCGACGGCATCCCACGGCTCGTGCTCCTCCACGACGACGACAACGACGACGATGACGCTGGACCTGCCGAAGAAAAACGAATTTTTTCAGGTTGTCATTCGGCCTATTTGGCGCGACACGTCGATTCATCGTCGTTTGTTCCGCCCGAAAAAAAAAAAAAAAACACTCCACAGTGCCGGGAATTGTGCGCGTTGTCGTGGTATTGTGCGAACCGTCGCTGATACCTCGGTTCATCCCCTAGGTGTGTTTCTCTTGCATAATACTAAATAAACACTGTTCACAGATACCTCGTTACACGATAAGCGTCGTGTTTCCGGTTTGACAGTGTCCTGTGGCCAGCGAGCTGGTCTGTTTCTCACGGCGTGCGCGTACACACCCCCAGTGTGTGTATGTGTTGCGTGCGAGGTCGTTATCTTCGAAAAAAAAAAAAAAACCTTCCTTCTCACGTCACTTCCTAACTTCCGTCTTGATCCGTGCTCGCGCGAAGTGCCGCGTAAGTATGTGTTTTTTCGCCGGACGATACGTCGTAATCTGTTTTTGGAATTGAACTAGCGATTTATTGTATAGAGGATACGTTTTGTCTTAAAAAAAACTTAAATCGCGACGTAATCTTCTGGTTTCGCGACGCGTAATAGTTTTGCAAATACAATTCAGATACAAACGTTTCGCGCGCGATTTATTTCCGCCACAATACGGATTTTAATAGTCGTGACCTCAATTTTTCTATCTCGGGTTATTTGTGTAGATTTTTTCTGCGATAAGAAAGTCTCGTTGAATCAACTCGAACGATTTCAGTGGATAATTCAAACACGGCTGTAAAAATATAGAAAAACAGAATTTTTATCTCTAAACTGTAAATTTATCGCGTGTGCTACATTTCTTTGAAAAATAAACGATAATATTCTATTTTTTTGTTATCTGCTCTGTTTATTGTTATTTAAATTGGAACGTTATGTTATTGTCTCAACGAAATTGCTATTTGCCTCGGATGGAACCACGTGAGTCGACGACGAAGCGAGAAGAAGATTACAAAAAAAAAAAAAAAAAAAAAAAACTCCACGGTACTAAGGTACATTTATAAAGCACGCGAAAAAAGTCGCGTGAACGGAAAAGTGGTGTACTGTTTGTTTGGATAGGAAGTTTGGTTTCGCGCGCAGGAAACTTGTTTTCCCCGTTTGTGGAACCCTTCCGCTCAATAACACGGCTCGTTGATATCTTCGGTGTGTGTGATAGGCGAGCCGTTTTTCTTCGTGTATATGCATTCTATACATATAAATATAATATACGTATGTATTTGTTGCGAACACACAGAGAGAGAAAGAGAGAAAGAGAGAGAGAGAGAGAGAGAATCACCGCGCGCGCACGGTGAGAGCTCGATTTATCGTTCTTCCAATTAATGGTTATATCGTTCATATTTTCGAGTCCCAAAGTGATTTGTATCGCTTATCGTTTGCTACGTTCATTGATTGCACGTGTTTTCCGTTCGGTCACGAGCGCACTCCAAGCGTTCGATCGAGCTTTCACTGTTCACGCGACACGTTATTATACGATATAGAAGTTGTTGCGAAAATTCTGTTTGTCGTAGCCAGCGTTCGCCCTGAGGCAATAATAATGATAAATTGTGCTCTGCGATTAAATTGTCTACTACCACAGACCTGTTTTTTTTTTCATTTTAGTATAACACGTATAAGAACAAGTTCAACAACACTAGAAGAATCTATATTTAGAAAACGTAGTTTAATAAAAAAAATAAATAAATAAATAAATATATGAAAAAGCACGAAAAAAGAAAATAAATAAAAAACTTTTGCATCTTGACGGCGGAAAGTTTCACACAAATCTCTTTTTTCGTTCTGATACACGTCTCTTGAAAAATGTGGTGGTGGATAAGCAGATTTCCCGCGACAACTTGATTGCGCGAATTTGAGGTGAATGAGAGGAGCGACGTTCTTTCCGCGTTTTAGACAAGCCTTACCTCAATTTCCCGTCGAATCTCACAGTATTGTCATTGCGCGAAGAAGGAAATTTCCTCCCTTCCCCCCAAGCCTTTGCAATCGTCCGGGTGGGTGAGCAACCCGGAAAGCAACCCTTTTGCTGTTTGCTCCGCTCGGTGTGTACGGACTATCTTTAAATAAGTGATAAATGCAAACGTTCAATTGAACGAACAAACGTTCGATTGTGAAAGAAGAAACAGCGGAGCGAGGCGCAAGCGCGAGAGTATTGCTCTCTTCTGTTCGTTCTTCCTTTCGTTTCAGTGTGTAAAACTCTACTCTCCTACGTTCTCAAGATTGATGAATAATTCAGTCTCGAATGGCGTGTCACGAGCGATGTGTGTGTGTGTGTGTGTGTGTGTGAGTGTGCGATCAAATCTTTCGAAACAAAATACGCTCCTTCAATTACTTTAATTCAATCGACGGCTAAATGGACATTCTGTGTCGACATCACACAGACGAGAGTTCTTCACATGACAAAGGTTTATATACGTGTTCCTTAATCGAGACGCGATTAGTGCAGTCTAGATCTTCGATCGTCTCTCTCACGCAAGTAACATAAAAAAAAAAAAAAATTCGGGAGTTGTGTCTCAAAAGTTGTCCGCATGCGCTTGGAAAGAGATGTCTTTTTTTTTAGAGATGTTCTGCGACGTTCTTCGGACGTATATTTATTGTCTATAGCGCGAAATAGAGTTGAGGGATGAAGAAAAGAAGGAATGTGTGTGTACTACTACTGAAAGAGTTCTCGCGACGGTTAACCGATATTTTGCGAAAACTCGGTTGCGTTGCAATTCTTCAAGTGTGACTTTTCTGCGATGAAAAAAAAAATAAATAACCCGTCGGTCTCACGGTCTTAGTCCGTATATCGAATTTTAATTGCGCGGCACGCATAACACGCGCTCGTCAACGTTATTTATCTGGATACGTGGAATCAATGTAAATATAAACATTCTAACTATAATAATAAGCGCATTCAATAAAACATTAATCGTGACTATAAACTTATATGTATAGTACGTTTTTATTTTCCACCTCCCGAAACCTATTATATATATATCACATGTTTTTATTATTTTACAGAATTATATCTTTTGTATATTACATGTGTCAATGTATTTGTTTTTCTTTTCTTAATTTAATCACTCCGAAGGATTGAAAAGAAATTGTTCTTATAAAGCAGGAAAAAAATCTTATCGCATAATTCGTGTTAAACATCCACCGACATCCTGCGACGTTGCTGAAAGCTTTACGATGCAGGTAAGAAGTTTTATTTTGCATGCAATCGCACACCTCTTTTTTGCACAATCACACGTTTTTCCGGCACACATTTTCTCCGAGAGAAAAATCGAATCAATGACGCGGAGTATTTTATTTTTCCTGGTGGTGGTTCTCACATGCAACCTGTTACGGCTTTTACCGCGCATTATATTACCGACCATATTCTGCGTGAACGACACGTATGTTCGCGTGTTCGCTCTCTTTAATCATTTGCATCGACGGTATTATCTGTGTCAACGTGTAAACGTTACACACCACGTCGTCTCCACCGCGCGCGTGCCACCCGAAGAGTCAGCTCACTCTAATTCTTCTCGTACATTTCAATTTTTACTCAAACTTGTGGTCACAAACTAAACGAATGAAACGCGGTTGAAATCGTAACGACGAGTTCTTTAAGTACGGCGATAAAACTAAATATCAGCCCGAAACAGTCTGAGATCGTCGATCGTAACAACTGCGAATCCTATACCGATCTTCTCGATCGGTTCGATTTACACCAGTCGTAAAAAAGAAACCCATCTTAATCGCGCAACAAATTGAACAGAAGAAATAGCGGGAACGGGGGGTTAAGGTCGAAGTTAAACCAGAGTCTGACCCAGACACAGACACTTGGTGAAATATATGGGAAAAAAGGAGAGAAAATGAGAGATACGAGTAGTATACGATAAAAGCATCAATAAAATTCCATCTGCATAAAATATATAGTGGAAAATATATACACAAGAGGCAAGAGCGTGAAGAAGTAAAGGAGAGAATACCAACGGCGCTCCGTTAAATGCAATAAGAAGTCAATTACACGGCAGATAATAACGAAATCTTGGCACCGCGAGAGAGAGAGCGGAATTATATTGCGAATATACTTAATAGAAGTCCTTTCTTAATTTTATGTGACCGTCAGTTAAACTGAGTCGAGAGCGGTCTGGGTTTGCTGCTATTAACGTAATAAAAACTTAATTTAAAATAAAGCTAATTTCAACATCTCGCTGATGTAGAACACGTCAGCGTCTAATAAAGTTTTCCCCAAAAGAGACTCATCGCGATAAGATCGAGTCGGTTATATTTTTCCACTTTCTCCCGCACATATATATCTCTCGCTAAGCGCGCGCATTCTCTTTTAAAATGTTTTTAAACCCATTCGGAGAAGGTTGACTTATCAGTGTATCCCTCCCGCGCGCGCGCGCGCACACACACACATTCACACAAAACATACGGCTATTCCGCATCAACTGCTGATATTTAAATTCCGCATCGCTAATATACGCAGAGCGCAATATTCGTGCCTGGTCGCGACGTCTCTCGTTTCTGTATTCCGCCCCGACATTTCGGATGGTTTGCGCCCCCTCTCCCCTTCCTCTTCCCCTCTCGACTCATCCTCGTCTTTTATTTGCTGTGCCGAGCAAAAGTTACGCGATAAAAGCTCGAAACTCTTTCACAGAAAACCGCTAAATTGAAACACACCGTCGAAATAAAACGACCTCTCATTCCTGTCCGCGAGAACAGGTATCTCGCTGTATGCCGGTGCGCAGGTGCACTCAGATTTGTAATAAAGATTTCGACTCCTTTGCCATTTCGAGGCTGCATCGCGTATATACGTGTAGGTTTGTACGCGGGCGTGTTTCAAGAGGAACGAGCGGTGAAAAGGACGCTTCTGCTCGCTGCGAAAGCAAAAGATTGCTAAAAACATTGCGGGAAGAAATAAAACGAGAGAAACGGAGGAAAAAGAGCGCGCGCGTGCGGTCGCTCGCACACATTACACGGGCAACAAAATTATTCGCTAATTCTATGCGAATATATTTAAATACTATTGCGCGCATGTACAATTATTGTGTATTGTACAAGCGCAAGCGGAAAAGCCGATATCACGACGTGACTCTTCAAAGCAAAATTTTTAATAATAAAGTTTTTACAACAGTTTTATGTTTAAAAATAATTAAAAATGATAAAGCCGAGTAAATAAACAATATTGACGAAATATTTATAGCTCGTATATGAATTTGTATATTTGTTGTTAACCTTTAGAGGGCTGGAAAACCAATATTTTGGCGCATCAGAATAACTTGTTCAATTTCTTTTTTTTTTTTATTAAATATTAATGTTTATATATTGTTTATTTATTAATATTAATGTTTATATATTGGCGCTACCCATGATCGACACTTAGTGTATGGTCAATCCATGATATATCTTTTTTACCACTTTACTAAGGCGGATATGCCCTCTCAAATCCCGGCCCTCTAAAGGTTAATTATATACAACGAAATAATTGTATAGCAAAATTTGTGTTTCTTCCTTTATATGTTGAATGTAATATCTTTTCGTCTTTTTAAACGGAAGCTCGAAATCGTCTTGTGTGTGTGTGTGTGTGTGTGTGTGTACCATACTTTACGGAAAATTGGAAACAGTACACTTTATTGGCAGAACAATATTGCAGGATCAATATACCGTAAGTATCATTCGCAATCTTCCTCTCTCTTTCTCTCTCTCTCTCCCTCTCTCTCTCTTGGTTAAACAAGGAGAGTAAAATATCTTTCATGTTGAAAGAACGCGAGTGAAAGACGTAAAAGTACGGCCGATATAGTGTATCACTAAAATCGGACACGACGATATCGGTAAACACACAGCGAAATGAGATGATCGATGTATAGCTATGTAATGGATAGCGTGTTCTGTCCCGATATGTACTTCCAATCCATTATTTTCTAACTAAACACACCTATCGCTACCAAAAGCACAAAATCGGTCTAATTCTATTAACCTTTAACCCCCCTGCCAAGTACGCCGGATA